TCTGCTCTGACAGATGCCGGTTTTTATTCTCATAACTACAGATGAATTGCATGTACAGAATTGTCGGTCAGCATATGTAGGGTTGTAGTGAATTGTTTATTATTCCCTCAAGGAAGGTCTATTAAAATCATGTGGTTCTCCATTTCAAATGGTGTCTTGGGAAGCTTTGAGAAAAGACGTAAATGAAGACACATTAGCATACCTCTCCAACTTGGCCAATCAATGGTATGGATCTAACCCTCCTCCCACCCACTCACACCTGCCTTCGGCAAATCAAATCTGACCTGTGACTCACTGTAACTGGATCAGCCAATAAAAACCCTCGTAGCAACTGAAATAATTATATTTGTCAGAATAATGAGGAACGATGTTACAGTCACTCAGTAGGTCAAGGACATTCAGTCTAGCCGTGACTATTCCTACAGAACTGCTGCAAAATTCAGACTGTATACTATCAACAGTATCTAAAATTAAATAAAATTATGAATATATATATATATATATCACTATTCCTTATTATTTGATTTACTGGCTTAATCAGTGACTAGAGGAAGTGAATTATAAGGAGTGTGAAGAAAATTACTTGTGGCATGCCTTGCTAATTATTTTAACTTTTGGTGAGCTACAAGGTAAAACTCTGATAATCCAGCCTTCATTATAAAATTAGTATCTAGCAAAATATAGCCTTCAGGACATATGGGCTTGAAATAATACTATTATCCTCTTCAAGAGGAACTATTGCAAGACTGGAAGTGATTTTGTTTTAATCTTCCTCCAGCCTGACTGCTGTCCTCATGTGGTTGTGTTGTTCTGTTCTTTTTCTACACATCACTTCCACTGCACTTCCAAAGAACATAACTCCTGAGATAACAAAGGCAGATCCATCAGATGTAAACCAAGGTGAACAAACTCGTAGATGATGTAAGAGCAGCATATCATCTGACAAGCAAAAGGAAGATTACAGTATCAGTGAAAAAGAGCACCACTAATGAAAACATCACACTTACCAGTGTAGATTTGCATGTGTATCTGAATTTCACAATGCTACTCCAACACAGTGGTGACCTAAAATAGTTTCCACAGCTTTTTCATAGTCTCTCCTTGTCCACTTAATACAGTGGAATCTCAGATGACTCCAGATATCTTATTTTCAATGTCAAAAGACTCTACCTAATAGTCTTTACAGAAATGAAAGTTATTTCACATCTAAAGATTAGAAGAAAAAAAAAATTCTGGGATCATTTATCACCCTCATGTCATTCCAAACCGTATTACATTCTTTCTTCTGTGGAACACAAAAGGAGATATTTTAGAGAACGTGCTACTCGCTAATTTTCAAACAAATTCCAATGAACGGAGACTGAAGATTTCAAGCTTCAAAAAGGAAGCAAAAACACCATAAAATATCTTGAAAATAGTCCAAAACGACTTTTTGCTCTGAATCCATAAAACAGCTTTGTGAGAGAAACACAAACAAAATTTGTTTATTTACAGATAATTGTTTCAGAAGACTTTATATATATATATATATATATATATATTTAAAAATTATTGTTTGTGTTTTAGAAAGAAAGAAAGAAAGAAAGAATGAATTTGAAAGTCAAGCCTGCAAAGAACTCTACGTAATCAAAGTTAAATCAAGAATGTGCCCTTCTTAAAATGTTTATTTCTCACAGTGGGGAAAAACAAACAAACAAAAACAAATTAATTAATCAATCAATCAATGACACAACGCATGCAGTAAAAAGCTACTGGATTTTCCCATAAGAACTGATGTAAGGGTTTTTATATAGTGACAACACCCCCATTAGGACAATGGTGTGGTGTCCACTTAATACAGTGGAATCTCAGATGACTCCAGATATCTTATTTTCAATGTCAAAAGACTCTACCTAATAGTCTTTACAGAAATGAAAGTTATTTCACATCTAAAGATTAGAAGAAAAAAAAAATTCTGGGATCATTTATCACCCTCATGTCATTCCAAACCGTATTACATTCTTTCTTCTGTGGAACACAAAAGGAGATATTTTAGAGAACGTGCTACTCGCTAATTTTCAAACAAATTCCAATGAACGGAGACTGAAGATTTCAAGCTTCAAAAAGGAAGCAAAAACACCATAAAATATCTTGAAAATAGTCCAAAACGACTTTTTGCTCTGAATCCATAAAACAGCTTTGTGAGAGAAACACAAACAAAATTTGTTTATTTACAGATAATTGTTTCAGAAGACTTTATATATATATATATATATATATATATTTAAAAATTATTGTTTGTGTTTTAGAAAGAAAGAAAGAAAGAAAGAATGAATTTGAAAGTCAAGCCTGCAAAGAACTCTACGTAATCAAAGTTCAACACAGTGGTGACCTAAAATAGTTTCCACAGCTTTTTCATAGTCTCTCCTTGTCCACTTAATACAGTGGAATCTCAGATGACTCCAGATATCTTATTTTCAATGTCAAAAGACTCTACCTAATAGTCTTTACAGAAATGAAAGTTATTTCACATCTAAAGATTAGAAGAAAAAAAAAATTCTGGGATCATTTATCACCCTCATGTCATTCCAAACCGTATTACATTCTTTCTTCTGTGGAACACAAAAGGAGATATTTTAGAGAACGTGCTACTCGCTAATTTTCAAACAAATTCCAATGAACGGAGACTGAAGATTTCAAGCTTCAAAAAGGAAGCAAAAACACCATAAAATATCTTGAAAATAGTCCAAAACGACTTTTTGCTCTGAATCCATAAAACAGCTTTGTGAGAGAAACACAAACAAAATTTGTTTATTTACAGATAATTGTTTCAGAAGACTTCTGTCTCTACTGCTTCTTCCTCTTCTCACTATTTATATCACACAATGCACAGCTGTTGCAATGGCAACAGATGTTAACCGACCTGCGCTTGAAGCAGAATGAAAATCGAAATGATAGCCTGAGGATAAGAGTTAAATCCAGCTGCAATCTGATAGAGCAGATTAATTTAGGACTGCAAGATACACCTGAATAAGAAACCGTTTAAAAGCGTTTGTGCTGAAATCAACATCAGGCTCTTCAACAGCTGCATGTATTACGATCATTGCGGTTTAAACCCTTTACCTTTTACTAAATGAATATGCCTGTATTGGAATTCAAGAAAGTATTTTTATAAAAGCTGTAAACAGACATTCACCAATATGCTTTAGTCAAGATCAGATGCTTAAACTTTAGAATTAGAACTATTCTAACTAACAATAGAATTATTGTTATAATTAGAACAACACACACATAGAGCAACATAGAATTGCTAATACTTTCTAATGTATGGCTATTGTTTTCCTACCAAAAATGAAGTCATGTCATTACGGAACTGGCTTTTATTAGTTAAAGGGGTCATATGATGCGATTTCAATTTTTCCTTTCTCTTTGGAGTGTTACAAGCTCTTGGTGCATAAAGAAGATCTGTAAAGTTGCAAAGACTAAAGTCTCAAATCCAAAGAGATATTCTTTATAAAAGTTAAGAGTCAACCACACCTACCTAAAACGGCTCGTTCTAACACGCCCCCACATGTCTACCTCACTATCTGGGAAGATTTGCATAACGCCGCCCAAATGTTCACACAAAGAAAGAAGGCGTAACTTTTATTCTCGCTGTAGTATTCAGCGTTCCTCACTCTAGCCCCCGGCCTCTGCTCGCTCTAGGCATGTGTGACGCTGTGTTTCGTTGTGAAAGCGAAACTACTTTGTTTGGTCTTCCAAAAGAGGAC